CTGACATATACTCCCTCAAAATAACTTCTCCACAATGAAGAGCAAATCTATAAAAAGGATTTTTTTGCAGTCCAAGGAAGGAGAAGTTTGGGGAAGCACAAGAAAAGAAAATGGCATAGGAGGATGGACAAAAAGAAAGTTATGGAGAAGGAAGAGGAGGAGGAAGAGGAAAAGGAATGGGAAAGGAGGAGGAAGAAGAGAAAGAAGAAAGAGGAAGAGATGGAGGAAGAGAAGGAGGAGGAGAAGGAGGTAGGACATTTCCAGTTTGGGCAATTACATATAAAGCTATGGACATTCCTGTAGAGGTTTGCAAATGAAACTTGTATTTTTCATTTCTAGGAGATCAACAACCAAGAATCTAATTACTGGATAATAGAGTTTGACTTATTTTGTTTAATAAGGCATTTTCCAAATATTCAGGGTGACCAAGCCATATCACTTCCCCACCAGCAAAATATGAGAGCTATTTCCAATCTTACAAGCACTTAGTATTGTTTCTACGCACAGTTGAGTTCTACAGATAGGGACAATGACCTATCCCTGTGGTTTCCATTTGCATTTTCCTAATGTCTAATGATGTTGACCATCATTAGATGTGCTGATTTTCAATTTCTGTAACTAGTAAAATGTCTGCTGGTTTCTTGGCCCACTTCTAACTGAAATGTTAGTTTCTTCTTACTGTTCGGTTTTGAGAGCTCTCTACTAGATGCAAAGTATTTGTCAGAAATGTGCTTTGCAAAGTTTGTTCTTTCATTTTGCATTTAGCAGTCCTTAGGGGGAAAAAGTTTTAAATTTTGGTCAAGTCCAATTGATGAGTTTCTATTTTTCTTAACTATGCTATTGGCATCCTAGATAAGCACACTGCTTAGTCCTGCCCCACATATTTTCTACACATTTTTTTTTTCAAAAGTTCTACAGTTTTTCTGGGTGCTCAGGGCTCACGCTTATAATCTTAGCTACTCAGAGGGGTGAGATCTGAGGATCGTGGTTCAAAGTCAGCTAGGGCAGGAAAGTACGTGAGACTCTTATCTCCAATAAACCACTCAGAAAAAGCCAGAAGTGGCATTGTGGCTCAAGTACAGAGCATGAGCCTTGATCACACAGAGACTCAGAGAAACCACCCAAGTCCTGAGTTCAAGCCATAGGACCAGAAAAAAAAGAGATCTACAATTTTGCCTTTTATATTTAAATACATGATCTAGTTTGAATTATTTTAGTAAGTTATGAGGCTTAATTAGGTTAGGTTCATTTTCTTTTGCCTCTGATTATTCAAATGCTCTAACACTAGTTGTTGAAAATAGTTGTTGCCTATGAAAAGATGTTACTTCTTTTACTCTTTATGGTGGTAATATATACTTTTCCTGAGTAAGTCTTCCATGGCTTAGTCTTTCCAGGGACCTAGCAATACTTTTTCTTCCTCAAAGACTTTTTTCCTTTATCCAAAGAATTTTTGCTCTATTAATTTTTTCTAATGAAAGTTTATTCTCTATTTATGTCTTGTCTTCTTTTTATTATTTCCTTCTGTCCTCATTCTTTGAGCTTAATATGATATTCTTTGCTGGCTTCTTAAGCTGGATAATTAGATCAGACTTTATTCTTTTCTAAAACACAAAGCTATAAATTTTGCCCTGTGTGAGTCTTCTTGTATATACAAGTTCTGATATGCCATGTTGTTATAATCATTTTGTTTAAAATATTTTCTTATTTCCATTATAATTTGCTGCTTGAGTCATTGGATAATTATAAATAAATTGCTCAGTTTCTAAATACATGAGGATTTCCTCATTTTTATTGTCTTGTTATTATTGATTTCTAGCCTATTTCCAATGTAATCAGAGAACAAGGTTTTTTTATTTCAATCCTTTGAAATTACTTTGGTACAGAACTCCTTTGATAAGTCTTCCAAGTCACATGAACAAAGAACATATACACTGCTCTGTGTAAATACACTGGTTTAATTGTGTGAAATGAGTCAAAATTGTTCTTCATGCTTTCAAATATTCATGTCTCTACTCAATATTTATGTCTTTAATCTATTACTTTCTGAGAAAAGTTATTTAAGACTTGCAACTATGATTGTGGGTTTATCTGTTTCTTTTTTACATTTTTTAAATCAAATGTTGCTTTATACATCTTAGAGCATATTATTGATTATGGCCAAATTCATTGTGATTGCACTAGCCAACTGAATTTACTTTGTTATCACATAAGTAGTCCCATCTATATCTGATAATAGTACCTCACAGTGTACTTTATCTGATATTAAAAACAACATTGTTTTTCTTTAGATTAGTATTTGCCTTTCATGTGTTATCTCATCCTTTTACTTTCAACTGCCTTGACATTTTATGTAATATACATCTTTTACAAATAGTCTAAAGCTAATGTTGTTTTCAGTCTGACATTTTTTGAGTTTGAATTGGTGTCTTTCGTTCATCTACATTAGTAGTTACAAATGTGGGAAGTTTGAATCAATACCCTACAATTTATTTCTCTTACTTGTTATTTATTTCTGTTTTCTCATCCTTTGTAATCTTGTCTGGGTTATTTCCTCATTTTCTAGTTATGATCATTCAATTGTTCTATAATAGACACTAAAGATCGTAACATGAATATTTACTTAAAGGGTCTAAAACGACCTAAACCAGGTATGAGCAACAGAGGTTGTTAAGCCTTTTAAACTCTGAAATTTTTCTTATATTTTAAAGCCAAGAAATATGCCATCAACACAAATAATGCCTTGCCTTCATAGGCTCAGATCACAAAAAATATCATAAGTTTTCTAATTCCTCACAGGCTTAGATCCAGGAATAAAAGGGCTTGTGGTTAAAAAAAAAATAGCTTCATAAGTATTATGTACTATATCCAAGAGCGGGAACCAACCCAGATACCGCTCAATGGACAAATGGGTCAAGAAAATGTCATATATATGTATACACACACACACACACACATATACATAAAAATGTGAGATACACACACACACACACACACACACACACACAAATGGAATTCTACTCCTCCACCAAAAAGAGTGATATTGTACCCTAGTACCCTTCAAAAGGAAATGGAAAGACTTGGAAAAAAGTTATAGTAATTAAAAGAAGTAAGCCAGACTTAAAGAAACAGATTGCATGATATCCCTCATTTGTGGTAACTAGCATGAGCCTATAAATCTACAAGTGAACACTACACTAGGACATGATAAATCATACAAGTTTCTAGAATATTCACACGGTGAAACTAAGTGAGGATATTCTTAGGAGAGGATCACAAAGGCCCAATAGCTACATGCATATGATCACATAAAATATTCATGGAAATGAACTCCAAGAAATGGAAACAAGAGGATTTTTTCTTTGTTGCTGTTTTTGTTTTCTGTACTTTTCGTCTTGTTCGTAAGTTTATCTGCCCTGAGAGTAAGGGAGGCACAGAAAGGTTAGGGCAAAGGGTGATCAAATGCAGTAGGAATACACACTAGACACTATATTGAAAATGAACTGTATGACTTCTAGACGGGGAATGGAAGGGAAAAACTGGGAGAGGGCAAGGCAAAGGATGACACTGTTAAAAAGAAATATACTTGTTACCTGAATGATTTAACTGTAACCCCTCTGTATATCACCTTTACAATAATAATAATATATACATAAATTTTTTAAAGAGAGCTGCCTATTCCTAAAACTGTTTCAGATTCTATAGAGTTAATAACACCCAGTCATCCTTACTAGAGAAACCCTTTTTTCAGATCCTTAAACAGTTAATTTTACTGTCTCCTCCATTGCCTAAGGCATAGATACATCACTATCAAGACACATATATATCTCCCAGGATCTTCTTGAGGGTCTAGTCTATGTAAGAAGTCCACCAGTGTTCTGATACATATACACAGATATACGCACACAAATAAACACATGTAACTCTCAATATTCATCCATATTGATATATGATATGTATCTATATATAGATGTATATATGCATACATGTGCATATACATATGTCAATGTGTCATATATACATGTATGCATATATACATATGTATGTATGGGTGTATATGTATATACATATGTACAAACTAGCTTTGATTAAATAGATAATGCCCCTTGGTGGTAGCTAATTAAGATTTTCTGTACAATAATAGGTAAGACAATTAAAACAGATGGTCTCTCATGCGTATTCAGTAGTTGCTGCTACTTTCCTAAGTGAGCAAGGAAGCTCTACCTGTCTGAATTTTCCAGAATTCCCTGAGTGCCCAGTCCCAGCAAAATGCCCACCAGATTTTGATACAGTGATTTTTTTTGGCCTGACCTTGAACTCCTGGCCTGGGTGTTATCCTTGGGCCTCATTGTGCTCAAATCTAGTGCTCTACCACTTAAGCCATAATGCCACTTTCAGCATTTTCTGAGTAGTCTGAGTAGTTTATTGGAGATAAGAGTCTCATGGACTTTCCTGCCCAGGCTGGCTTTGAACTGTGATATCACCTCAGATCTCAGCTTCCAGAGTAGGTAGGATGACAGATGGAAACCATAGGTTCCTGGCTTGGTACAATGTATTTTGTTAACCAGCTTTTACCATCTAGCGATGTTCTTCATAGATTATCCACTGTGAGCTCTCTAAGCTTTAAATGAATCTCTTTTTTTTTTTTAGTATTTTTTTTATTGTCAAGCTAATGTACAGAGGGGTTAGAGTTACATAAGTAAGGTAATAAGTACATTTCTTGTCAAACTTGTTACCCCTTCCCTCATTCATCCCAACAATTTATTTGTATTTAGATTATACAATCCATCTAGATTATTCTGTTTCCCTAATGTCTCTTATTTGCCTGCACTGAAACATTTGATAATCTCCTAAGTAGCTTTCTTAACCCAAAGCTGTGAACTGTTAATTCATTGAACACATTTATTTTAGTCGTTCTCCCACCCCACCCCCACATTCACTTACACAAATGCCTTTAGACCTCCTTGACTTTTCTACTGTATTTGGTTTTTAATCTCACTTACCAAGGTGGCCGAGAGCTTCCTTGTCCCAAGGCCAGGTGGCTGCACCTGCCAGGTCTTCCCGCACTGAGCTGGCAAAGTAGATATTGAGGAAATGAGTACTGTTGAGCTTCAGGGTCTCCTTTAGCTCCTTCATGCTCATATATACCCTGGAGAACATGAGAGGAGAGAGAATATCACACCAAAGGATTGATATGTAGAGAATAACACAGTCAGACTTAGTTACTCTGGTGGCCTTTCCAGACAGCATACCCCTTTGAAAGGACAGAAACAGACACTGAGTTCAGCCTATCATGAGGACCACTAAAAAATAGACACTAAAACGCACATTTGATATATTTGTTCCAAGATAAAGAATACTCTGCCTTAAAAAAAAAACACTTCCATATCTCTGTGAATACTTGGTATTTGACATCATTCTTAATTTTCCACTTACACCCAAATTCTTTCTTCAAGATGAATCTAATGATATTACTATGTTTTTATTTTTTTGCCTTGAAGATTTTCTCCAGGCCATGCATAGTGAAAGAAAAGCTTCCAGCTCGTAGTCTCTGCTTCTTTCTAACATAGTGTGTGAGCATTATGATGACATGAAGTCCCTTTAAATCTCCATTTTGCTATATGCTGAATACATTTATTTTGAGGGATGTGCCAGTACTGAGGCTTAAACTTAGGGACTGGGTGGTGGCCCTCAGTTTGTTTTTATTTTGTTTTGTTTTCTTTTACTCAAGGCTCACACTCTACCACCTGAACCAAAGCTCTGCTTCTGGTATTTTGGCAGTTAAAGATAAGAATCTCATGGACTTTGCTGCTGGACTGGCTTCCAACCACGATCCTCAGATCTCAGCCTCCTAATTATCTACAATTACAGGGTTGGGCCACTGGCACCAACTGTAATTTAATGATGACAGAGAGGTTAAAAACAGGAAGAGTTATAGACAGATGGGACATCATAATGATACCATAAATAATGCAAATAATGTACAGATGTTCCCTTTCTCAACTCTTAAACCATATAAACTCTTGCCCTCACCCCTGTTAATTCATCATACTTTCCAATATCTTTACTGGTAGCCTGCAATGTACTAAGCAATATTATGTTTGTACTCACTTGCAGAATTAAAGGTCTATTAAAAACACATGTCCTACCATCCCCCCCCAAAAAAAAGGAAACATGCATTTGGTCTCTGTAAGCTGAAATAAGTCAAAGGCCTTCATTTTGCAGGCATAAGTCAACCTTAAAATGTTATCATTTGGCTTGGCACTGATGGTTCACTCCTGTAATCCTAACTGCTCAGGAGACCGAGATCTGAAGATCACAATTCAAAGCCAGCCCAGGCAGAAAAGTCCTTGAGATTCTTATCTCCAATCAACCACCAAAAAGCCAAAAGTGGAGCTGTAGTTCAAGTGGTACAGTGCTAGCCTTGAGCACAAAAATGATGGGCCAGTGCCCAGGCACTGCAAGCCCAGGACCAGTACAAACAAACAAGCAAACGAAAACCCAAAAGCAATGATTTTTAAAAGGAGGAACTTAGTCAGAGTTCAGATTTAGATTCAGTTAGATTGGAATTAGATTCACTAGCTATTTCCCATAGGAACCATGATCTGCCATTGCAAGCCAAGGTATGCCTCTAACACAGCTTTAGCTAGGAAGACAGACCACTCAGCACAAGCTGGAAATTCCATTACAGAATGTTCGTGGTTGCAGTTTTGCTAGACCAGCTGCAGGCAAACCCAAACTCAGAAGCTCATACCAGGACAGTGTGACACTTTTCTCTTGCTTTCCCTGCTCCCAATCATATCATTGATGACATCTATTTAACCCATGAATCTTATGTATTGGCAATGAGCACCCAAAAACTACGGAGTGCCCCCACAAAGAGACTGCTTTTGTGTTCATTGGAACCCAAAGAAACAAACAAACAAAAAGATCTTGCTTTCAAACCAAGGATGCTTGGGAGAAAAGAATTTTTAAAGTAGTATTTTTATTGACATAATATCTTGGAAAAATAGCTCTCAACCACAAGAAATCATCTAAGCTCCACAACCTCGCATCAAATATGATCGAAGCGCTATCCCTTTAACTGCTTTCCTGGAGACACATTGTTTTGAGACTGTTGCTTGGTTCACCCTGGACATTAGTCACACTTCCCTTTGCTTTATTGAAATAATTATATAAATATATGTATATATATATACACACATACATATTTTACTGATGGTTTGAGTTTATGATATTAAGTAAATCTTCAATGTGAAGAATAGAAGAGAAGGGAGAAGAGAGGAGAGGAGAAGGGAAGAGAAGAGGAGATGGGAAGGGAAGAGGAGAGGGAAGGAGAGGAGAGGAGAGGGGAGTGGAGGAGAGAGGAGAGGGGAGTGGAGGAGAGAGGAGAGGGGAGTGGAGGAGAGAGGAAAGGGGAGGAGAGGAAAGGAGAGGAGGGGAGGGGAAGGGAAAGGAGGGGAGAGGAGAGGAGGGAGGAACTCAACATTGGGCCTACTTTCTGCTCTGGGAACTCAGGAAGAAAATGGATACCATTCTCTGTTGCTATTCCAGATTTTATTTTAATAGTTTTCTTTGTTTTGATCTCCCCAACTTCCCTCAAATTCTTCTTTTCCTGGGATGTTTTACTTGAGCTATCTGTGTGATACTGGCTTCCCTACCACTTACCAGTCTTGGCTACTGATACTTTGTCCTCCCTCAACCCAGCACTTCTGCTCATTTCTCTTGAGCATCCTCCAAAAGACTTCTCCACCAACCTCATTAGTGGGTTCCACTCATCTCCCTTTTCTTTGTTGCCCAATTCCTTCCCCAGTAATAAATCACCCTTCCAGATGAGAGTGTTTATGTCATGCTGGTGGCAAACTGGGTGGGGTTGCTCAAATTCTTGTACTCCACAGAAATATAGATAGAAGTCTGTGTGACTAAGGTTGCAAATACATTGTAAAACACTAGAGACAATTGGAAACAGTTAATTAAATTGATAGGGACAAGTTTTATTTTGCTGGAAGCAAAAACTAGCATCTAGATTATTCTCCGAATCTATGAGAATGAAAGAGTGAAGGTCACTGTCTCTTTTGCATGCAAAGCATTTCAGAAGTCAATCTTAGCTAATGAAGACAAATGCCTTAGTTACTCAGCTAATATGATCGGAGTCTGGCTGAGTGTAGGGAACAATGGGTAGAGCTCTTAGTTCAAAGCTTAACATTTTGCTTTAGAGATTATTAAGAGACAAACAAGTTTATTATTTTCAAGGGAATATATAAATACAGCAAAATACCTAAGGTTCATAAACTGACCGTAGCTATGTATTAAAAGGGAGAAACTGCATCTGCTTCATGTGTCCAAGAAACTGCCTTTACCTGAATTCTCCAAATGATAACTGGATATATCTTTCACTCTTCTTCCTTCTTCACGAAATAGTTTTGAAGTCTTTCACTATCCAACCCCTGGTTAGTCCGTGTGGATTGAGAGTATCAGCTGGCTCAGCCTCCCACTCCACCCCAGTTTCTATCTTTATATTAGAAAACTTATATATTTATGTGAAACAGCCATTTAATACCAATCTTATTCTTGATGTCTTCACCTCTGATGACCTTCCTTCCTTTCTCCTTTGGCCATCCATTCTCATGGCTTTCATTTCTTATTTGTTTCCTTATTTTTCTTTTCTTTGCCTTTTTAAAAAGTTATTTCCTCTCCTCTCTAGGGGCTATCTGAAATACTTAATATTTTTCTCTTGCTTCCATTGGTTCAGTTAACTTATTCCCATGACCTTTGATACATAATGACAATGCCTCTTTCTTTGATAATAAAATAGGGGCATTTCACTGTGAACTCCAACACTCCCTCTAAAACACAAATGAAAGTGTACACCACACACACACACACACACACACACACACACACACACACACACACACTTAAACTTACTTCTGTACCTATTTTTAGTCTCTTTCCTTTGGTCCCACAGGATGAGGTTTTCTGAGCAAACTATAACTAACACCCTCTCTTTTCCTTCTTCGTTTCCAATTCAAACTTCCTAAGAGAATAATTTCCTCATTTTCCACATACTTCATTCTTCCATCACTCATTTGCATCACTTTATCAAAATCACTTTCATTGACCTTGTCAGTGAAATTCCCATTTTCCTTTCCACAATAGAAAGGTACCAAGTCGCCCTCTTGTTGGAAGCCATTGTTGTGATTTGTACTAATAGTTGCTTCCCCATTCTTTCCTTTCTTAACTTACATTTTACTGTAAAGGTGATGTACAGAGGGGTTACAGTTACATAAGTCAGATAATGAGTACATTTCTTTTTTAGCAGTGTTACCCCTTTCCTGGTTTTCTCCCACTTTTTCCCTTCCCAACGCCTTTCTTTCCAAAGCTGTAAAGTTCATTTCCAACATGGTGTCTAGTGAGTGTCACTGCTGAATTGGTTCACCCTTTGCCCCACTGTTTGTTTCTGTGATTCCACTTCTCTTCCCCAAATTAGATATATAAAAGACAACATGTACAGAAGTAAAAAAAAAAATGACATCAGGAAATAAACCAAAGGGGAAAAAGGAAGAAATAACTGCAAACTGTACAATTAAAAATATTTTGTTTCCATTTCTTGGAGTTCATTTCAATAAGCATCATTTTATATGCTCATATGCACATAGCTATTGAGCTATTGTGGTACTCTCCTAAGAAAATCCTATACATATTCTAGTTATTACAAATGAGGGAAACAGTGTATGCAGACTATGTTTCCGAGGCTTTCATTTCCTTATTAATGGGGCAATGTCATTCTTTCTGATGGAAACAGAATTCCATTTGTATATATACCACATTTTCTGGAACCATTCATCCACTGAGGAGGATTGATTCCACATCTTAGTTATGGTAAATAAGGCCACAATGAACATGGTTGTGCTGGTGGCTTTAGTGTGGGATGGTTTGTTGTCATTTGAGTAAATGCCCAGGAGTGGGATTGCTGGGTCACAGGGGAGCTCTATTTTTAGTCTTTTAAGAAACCTCCATACTGCTTTCCAGAGTGGTTGAATAAGTTTACACTCCCACCAACAGTGTAGTAATATTCCCTTTTGGCTACATCCCAGCCAGTATCTGTTGTTATTAGATTTCTTGATAATGGCCATTCTAACTGGGGTG